GAAAAATTAGTTTATGGATGTCTTCTTAGTAATCTTTTTATCAAAGTTGGTCTTAACGTCTCTCTTGACAATCCCATTCCTCTTCAAAACCAAATCAATCTCACATCCTTGAAGAAAGCTGATTGGAAACAGGATGAGGAAACTGGTCAATGGGTTTATCGACCCTCTAAGCAAACTCCGGGAGCGAGTTCTTCACGAGCACCTCCTGCTCCTAGCTCTTCTCGTGCTCCTCCTCCTCCTCCGGCACCGGCTGCAGATGATGATCCCGAGCTTCAAGGATTATTTCAAGACATTGACGATCCCGACAATGCACCGATACCACAAGAGGATCAAGTGCCTCCATATTTTCATTCGTTTTTGGAGACATTTGATCTACGGTTTGCTTCCATCAAATCCCATTTGACTGCTAACAATGAAGCGGTGAATCATCCCTTAGACACTTTGGAAGCTCAACAAATGGAGTTTCAACGGCAGATGCTTGCACGTATGGATGCTCTCTCTCTTGAGATGCAAGCACGATTTCCTCTTCCTCTCGATCCTCCGATGGAGTAGATTTTTCCTTGTTATGCTTTCTTGGATTTAAAACTTGGATTGATTTTGATGTTTCTGGATTATTTATTTTGGATGATTAAATGTTTGGATTAATGTTTTGGTTGTTTGAGCTATAAGAACTTAATACATATATGTTTAGTTTGGTTTGAATTTTCTTATTTTTGCATCATTAGACATATATGACCAATTTACCATTTCACATTCGATATGAATATTGATTATGAAACTAATGGCTAATCTCTCTTTTGATTGTGATCTTATCAGCTTAATCTTATTATAAATAAATTGGCAAAAATTTTTTAGAGTCTTTTTGATTTAACAAAAAGGGTGAGAAGATGTATCATAGTAAGGGGAAGTAATTTTCAACTTTTCAAATTGATTTCAAAAATAAATTTTTAAAACAAATCTTAAAATTACTCAAGTGTTTTGTTATATCAAAAAGGGGGAGATTGTTGAAAATATTTTGATGTTTCGATATAACAAACTAAGTATAAATGAATTTTAAGATTTTTCAAAGATTTTTATGAGTATATTCGATTCAATTAATCAAATATCAAATTATTACTCCAAGTCTTTCAAGATCAATTTCAAACCTTACTAAATGTGTAAAATTGTGTTTTATACTTAATATATTTTTAAAACAATTTTCACAAAGTATTTTGAACCAAAATCAAGCCTAAAATCAATTTTTCAAAGGAATGCACCGATTCACCAATACATGCATCGATGCACCAATGAATAAATTGAACATCGAATGCAGTTTATGCATCGATGCACTCTCCATGCATCGATGCACTCTCCATGCATCGATGCACTCTCCATGCATCGATGCACTCTCCATGCATCGATGCACTCTCCATGCATCGATGCACTCAGGTTTTAATGAAAACATCGATTGCATTTTATGCATTGATGTACACACCATGCATTGATGCACTTAGACTTATTCAAAACATCGAATGCATTTTATGCATCGATGCACACTTAGTGCACCGATGCACTAAGTGTTCCAACGGTCAAAATAGCTGAATTTTACACTTGATGCACCGATACACCTTGTGTATGTATCGATGCACTGATGCTCCCAATTGATTTTATTAATTGTTTTCACACTTAAACGACTCTATTGACTCCACTAATCATCCCCAACGTTCAGAATCAATTGAAGGAGTATTTAAACAAGCTTAGAAGCCATTGATCAAAAACAAGAAACAACAAGAATCAAGAATTAAGAGAGAATCAAGGAGAAAGCATCAAACCTCAATTTTGAGCATTTCAAGCCTATTTTTCATTCAATATTCATTTTTCTTTCAAGAACACTACTTGTACTCCATTGTATTCATTTTTGAGTGTTCTTTTCTTTGTTCTAGAATTGTGCAAACAATCTACCTTGTAAGGATTTCCTTGTAAGTTTGCAAATTTGTAATCTTCTCTTTGAGAAAGAGTGTTCTTAAGAATTGGGGTATATTCTTGAGGGAGTTGTAAGGTTATCTCTTTGGCCTCAAAAGAAAGAACAAAATAGTGAATTTGTTGGAAAATCCTTAGTGTGGATAACTAAGGTAGTGGACGTAGACTTTGGTTGAGAAAGTCGAACCACTCTAAATCGCAGTGCAATTACTTTCAATTTTCTGCAAAAGCTTCCACCAAAATTTTAATTGCCAATTCACCCCCTCTTGGCTGATTCCATCAATCGATTAACTCAACATATTATTTAATTGATAGCACTAAAATGTTCTTACCAAAAATGTATAACAACGTTAATTTATGAATTAATATAAAAATAAGTATTTAAATTATATTTTTTATTTAGGTGTTTAAATTATTTTTCAATCAATCTAGGTGTTTAATATTTTCAAGGTTACGTTGTTAGGCGTTGGAACTATCATAGTCGTTAATTTTTTTTTTGTTAAATGACATATGTCACATTTATAGAATTTTAAAACTTTTATTTTTTAAAAAATAAAAATATTATTAAAAAAATTAAAACAAACAAACGACAATTTTTTTAGATAATGTGTTGGAATGTTTTATTAGTTCGATCATTGATTAGTTGAAATTATTTTCTGAAATAAGGTTATTGCAGTTTAAGACGTATATAGTACATTGTGATTCTAATAAAATTTTTGGGGAGACACGTGGAGTGCAATGCGTCTCCCATATTTTTTTTGATTCTTTTGTGGGTTTAAGATTTAGGGTATAAGGTTTAGTGTTTATTATTTATATATGATTTAGGGTTTAGGGGTTAAAGTTCAAGATTTAGAGTTTGGGTTTAATTTTGACTATTATTACAAAAAAATGGAGCATATTGTGTCTCCCAATTAAAGTCACATTGTGTTCCTTTCGATTTAGGAACTACTGTTGTATATGCATTATTCGAACACATAATTTTTGTTCACCATTATTCGAGCAATTTTCCATGTTTTTATTTGTAAAAAATTAGCCCAAACAAACAAACAAACTCAACCCGCGTCATCCCCTCCGAATGTTCTTCTCAGAATTTTCCCAAAGAGCCTAAGGCCAAAGACCAATGGTCAACTGTACCGGTCGACCAAATAGTAAAATGGTTGACTGTCACAATCGATCATATGTTCGACTGTCATAGTCGACCAAACGACCAACTACCACAATCGGTCAAAAGAATTTTTAAGGATTTGAATGTTTAAAACGGAAATTTGCATTTACACCATTGTTGGGTGTTCGATCGGGTGCGATAGTATTGGAGTTTTGGTTTATTACACGTCATTGGGTGTTCGGTCGATTGACAGTGTTGGTGGTAGCTGACAGTGGTAAAGAGATTGAAATTAAGGTTTTAAAAGATTTTGAGTTATTTTTATAATTTTAGAAAAAGTAAGAATTTTAATATAACATTTTAAGTATATTTTTAAATAAAATATTTTAAATTTTATAAAGACAACACTTACCATTTGACGACAAACTTTATGGCCATTATAAACTGGACACTTAAAAATGTAACATTGAAAAATTTAAATACTTATTTTTAACGATCTCTATCTTAATGGATGTTAAACTCTGCTATTAAGTGATACATGTCAAGTTCATGTAAAAGAATTATATTTTAAGAAGATTAAGTTTTAAAATTTATAAAGACGATATGTATTATTTAACGATAGAATTTAACCGCGGTAACAATCTATATACTTAAAAATATAACGTTAAAAACATTAAACGTCTATATTAATCGAAAATTAATTTAAGTACTTAAATGAGAAAATGTATAATTTGAAAACTTAATTTTATATTAAGCCTAATAAATTAATGCATTTATATTTTTTTATTTGCGTTTTAGTTAAATATCATGTCACTAGTGTTAGTAAAGTATATTGCTCCAAAATAATATCATTAATATTAATTAGTAATAATTAAAATAAAGGTAAAGTACAAATTTTTTTTTTCGATTATATGAAGTTGTTTTGTCGAGTCTTCACTATTTAAAGTTAGAGAATGGTTGTCAATTATAGTGCATTATTTTAGTGAGTCATTTGACTATTAAAAGTTACAAAAAGTAATCTAATGTTTTATATGTTTTAAACTCGTCTTTTTTCGTTAAAATATTGAGACTCAACAAAGCAACACCCTATAATCAAGAGACTATTTTCTAATTTTTAATAGCTGAAAACTCAATAAAATAATACTGTCGTTGGATCATTTATTTACTTTATCCTCAAGATAAAAAAAATGATGAACAAGCGATTTTAGGGATTATTGTTATTTCTAAAGATTCTAGGCTTAATTTTTAAAGGCACGGGTTGTGAGTGGATGTGAAGAAGATCGCCTCCGACAAGGTGGGTGCACACAACACCAAAGCGCTCGCTCTGGGCACTATTTTACTAAAGCGGTTAGCGCACGCCTTTGCCGCCTGTGGAAGATTTTAATAAAAAAATATTCTTGTTTTAATAGAAACTAAATCGCCTTTGCTGCTAGGGATCCTTTACTTCTTGATGCGTCTTGTTTCTTGATGCGTCTTACACTTTTTCAATCAGCTGTGTTTACGGGTGTATGTGCATTATTAATGATTAAAAAAGATTCTAATTAGATATTATCATGTAATTAATTTAGATTATTCACAATAATAATAAAAGATATAATTATTTTCTTGCGATAAAAGCCATTATTTTAGAACTAATTTGTCTGAATTGATGTCTTAGAATTCTAAGAGTGACCGTCATCTCATAAGTTTAACAGTCTTTCAAATCTTACACTTAAATATCAAATTGGGTGTAAATTATGAAGAGGAGCTATCCTTTTATAGAAGTACTAGACATATAAAATCATCAGACGACTACTTACTCCAACTGCTCTTGAATAACCTACCCAATAATTTACTTCGCTATTTGCATTACTCACATGAAACAAACTCAATCTGAAGGGATATATTGATAGAGTGTTCAAATCAAGTGATGAAATTAGGGCAGACTTTGCTGGGATTGATGTCGGAAGCATTGGGTTTGAACGCTGGTTACCTGGAAGAGATTGGGTGTGGCGAGGGATTGTTTATGGTCGGCCATTACTATCCGCCTTGCCCCAAACCTGACTTGACATTGGGAACCAGCAGCCACACCGATAGTGGCTTCTTCACCGTGCTTTTACAAGATCAAATCGGTGGACTTCAAGTTCATCACCAAAACCAATAGCTTGACGTTGACTCTATCCACGGGGCTCTTGTTTTCAATTTGGGCGATATGATGCAGGCAAGTCCACTCAATTATTCCTACGATTCTGTTTTGGCACCGTTAAATATTTCCTTTATCAATTACTATTTCTTTAAAACATAAAAATTATTTAATACCTTTATTAAAAAAGAAAAATCCTTTTTTCTTTTCAAAACCATAAAATGCATTAACATTTCGGGAACATATACGATAATTGGATTTGATTCTCTCTCTCTTTTTTTCTTATTTCTATTTGTATACAGTTATTATCCAATGACAAATTCAAAAATGTTCATCATAGAGTGCTTGCAAATAAAAAAGGTCCAAGACTTTCAATAGCAAGTTTCTTTAGAACACATCTTCCACCTGAGAATGCATCAAGGCTTTATGGACCAATCAAGGAATTGGTGTATGAAGAAAAGCCTCCACTCTATAGGGAAACTACTATCAAAGACTTCCTGTCAAGCTACTTCTCAAAAGGGCTTGATTCTTCTACACTTCAATACCTCAGGATATGAGTTCCAACTTTCAGGTGTCAAAGTCTGCGTTTTAATGCTATAATTACTCGGACTCATGTTTAGTCTATTAGTTTCTACAATTATCTTTAAAAATGTGATGTGAAATATATTTAAGGTTAGAATTTTAACTTTTGTAATACATCTCGTTACAGTGTAATTATGTAAGTAATAGATATACAATGATACCGAGAACTAAATTATGTAACACTCTAATCGCTTGTAAATGTGTTTATTGTGGCACGTAAATCTATGTAAGTATTCACAATCGACGCAAGTAATATAGTAGTGAGTGAGTATCGTCTCCACAGGGATTGGAGGGCTTTTAAAAGATTGCTACAACTAGGAATAAGGGGCTGTTTGTTTGGCTCTGAATGGAATCATTTAGCGCTGAATGCTGAACCGTTCAACAATCAAACTGTTTGTTTTTTCACCTCTGAATGTTTCAGTAATGAATGATTCAACAAAACAGTGCTGAATGATTCAGCACAGAAGTACATTCTGAATGATTCAGAGCCATTATAAAACAACATGTCACATTCAGAGCTAATTCATGCAGAGCCTCTGAATCATTCAACATTTGAATCATTCAGCGCTTAATCATTCTGAAGTAAACAAACAACCCCTAAGTGTCACTAACTAATCCTAACTATCTAATTCTAATTATATAAACAAGGAAAATATGCAATGACAAATGGTTTGAACATATGGAAAAAAGTATGGCCAAGGTAAGAAAAATTATAAAGTGAAGTAAGCATAATCGTTTTGTCGTGGCAAGAAAAATTGTAAAGTTAAACAAATAAAAGTTGTCAAGGCTAAAGTTGTTAAAACTTTGTAAATAGACTGACAACCTCACACAATCAGATTTCTAAAGGAGCACTTGGGTTGAATTTGCTACGACGAGAAATTATTCTATGTCTAGGATGATCTAGTGCCCCATAGGATTTACTAAAGTATTCTAGGACTTTTGCTGCGACAATACTACTCGGCGTGAACTACAACCCTTGGTTTGTCAAACTGTTGTTGCGACAATACCCCTCAGCGTAATCTGTAGCTTTTCTCCTATCTTACTCAAGTATCTACCCTTTTTAGTCGAATAAAACCCTCTCCTTATCTCTAAGGCGGATTAGATCCTCACCATCCTGGATTTGTTCCCTTATTTATGTAAATCTAACCTAACTCTCTCGATATTAGGCATCAACTCCTAGAAAAATGACATTCTCTCAAAAGCTCTTACAAAGACTAGAAATGTTTTGTCGTGGCACCAAGCAATCTCTCAAAAGCTCTTATAGTGACAAGGCAAAATATTAAAACAGTGAACAAAACAACACTAAGCATAAACAAACTTAATCATTCTTTAACAATTGAATAAAGTATTATCAAATCATCATCCAACACCAAAAAAAATAGCTCATAGTGTGGTAAATATCATCCCAAAAATCAATATTTAAGTACAAGCCCTTAAAAGATAAGAAAATGAAGAACAAGAGGAAGAAAAACTCCCAGAGCAGAGCTTTGCCGTGACATCAGACCACCACCATGACTGCTCCAGCGGCTAGCCTCTGTCAAGGGCATAGCCACTACTCTGGAGAAGCCTCGCTATGGAGGGCACCAAGGACAAACGAGTTGAGAACGATGGAAAAGAGTATGTCGCGCCCGCCTTTTTCCAAGCATAGGGTATTTTCTCTATATGATTCTGAACACTTTATGAAGAATTATAATGGGATATATATAGTGAGAATTTTTAGGGTTTAGTTCCCTTAGAAATTCCCTAAATACCCTTGAAGTTAAACCTTTATTGTGAATAACATAGTAGCTGGTAGTGGTCAAATTCCTTGACGAGGGCATGATTGCACATGAGGTGAATAGGCCATTTGGCCAAGTGATGTCAGCAGTTCTGTTAGACTTGCAAGATAAAACTTGCCTTGGCAATAAAATTTGTTCCTCGCTGTCATGGTATTCTGTTCCACTGGCCCTAGAAAATTAATTTTTCTCGGTAAATAAATTCTTCTTTAGTCATTTCCTGCATTATCACAATGAACAAACAACCTTTTTCTTCAGAAACATAAGTTTAGCCAAATAAACTTTGCCTCGTCAAAACTTATCCACCACATGCAAATATGTCCTAAATGCAACTAAATGCAGCTAAAATGCTAATTCAATGGCTTTTATACACTCAATAACTTAAGTAAAAGACCTAAAATATAGTATTTTTACGGAGTTATCACACCCCCAAACTTAAGCTATTACTTGTCCTCAAGCAATGGATAATGAGCAATAGAAAAATGAAATGCTATCGCAAAGTCTAAATCAAGACAGTCAAGTGGTTTAAAATTTCAGCCCTCAGCAACAAGTTTGGCCTCAACATGCTAGATTGAACGATAAGTCAAGTACCTTTCCCTAGGTCAAGATCCTTTGTCAGTGTGTGTGCGTGATTGTATGCTAGACTATTCACGTTACTGTAGCAGTGCATCGATACACTGTTCATTACTGTTCATAATACTATTCATAAAAACATCTTTTGCTTTAAGTTTGTTATAATGAAACATAATTCATATGATATGATATTTTTATAATATCATTTACCATTTTAAGAAAATAAAATTTTAAATCACTTTTGAATTGGAAATGGTTTTAAAAATTCAGGTGACATCTATAATCTGTATAGGTATAATTATACGGGTTATGGGTGTTACATTTATTGGTATCATAGCTACAGGTTTAGTCGATTCTAGGACTAAACCGAGTTTGTTTTGAGTTAAAAAGTGTATACATGCCGCTAGGATGTCAAAAGTTACTGATAGTTGTATATATACTATGATGATGCTTATTAGGAGTAAAGTTACTCTTTACTAAAGTACGATGATTTTGAGTGTGTTCAGATGTCAGATCATCAAGAATCGAGTAGGGCAGGCGATCATGTTACTCCTGCACAGAGTGAGAGTAATGAGGTGAACCAGAATCCACCCAATGCTCAGCCGAATGTAGAGATGTCTAATCCGAATCAACATGATATGTCTGTTTAAGATCAGGGGTTGTTCTTACAAGCCCTAGACATCATTATTAATCGTCGAACCCCAATGTCAGTTTCAAAAAAATTGAAGAAGATGAGAGCACCTGAATTTCGAGGTGATTCAGATGCTAATCTGATGGCTGTTGACTTCTGGTTGAATGATGTTAAGAATATTCTCAACAGGATTCCTTGTGATGATCAAGGAAAGTTGGAAGGGGTTGTGTCTCTACTGATGGAGCAAGCTAGTGTGTGGTGGAATACAGCCGTCGCACGAGTTTCCACTGAGCAGATCACATGAGAATTCTTTCTGAGGGAATTCAAGGAAAAATATATTGGGGACGTGTTTGTCAATGAGATGATGCAACAGTTCCTAAACTTAAAGCAATCCGACAAAACATTTTATGAGTACGAATGCGAGTTTCACAGGCTGAGTAGATTTGCTTCGGAGTTTCTTCCGACTGAGAAATCTAGAATTGATAGATTTATTTCTGGATTGGATTCTCAGTATAAGAGAATTCTGGTTTCTCATCATTTTACTACTTTTCAAGAAGCGGTAAACAAGGTTAAGGCTATGGAAAAAGTTGACCTTGAAGATATAGAGGCGAAGAAGGCTCAGACAAAATAAAGGTTTGGAAGCTCTTACTCTGCACCATTTTCCAAACGCAACAAGGGCCAACAACAGAAGAGTTATGCTTTCTCAGTATCCATGGGAAGAAAAAGATTTTCTGGGGGAAAATTAAAGCATACACAAGCAGCTTCGGTGGGTACTCAAGGTTCGAGATTTCGTCCTGTTGCAGAGTATAAGTTTTGTAGAAGGAGACATTCTGGTCAATGTTGGTTTGTTGAAGGAAAATATTATATCTGTGGGCAAGCGAGTCTTTATAAAAGGCATTATCCATAGTTAAATCTAGATTAGACAGTATCGGGACCCCAGAGGGGTAGAGGTTGTAAAATAGGTAAACCTGGTACATCTGAGGCTGCATCCAATCGTGAAGGTATAACTACTGCAAGAGTTTATCACATCAAGACTGATGATGACAGAGATGGTCCTGAGATTATAGCAGGTACCTTTTATCTCTTTGATGAGCCTGTTTTGTATTGATTGATCCCGGTTCTACATACTCGTATATTAGTACAAAACTGATAAGAGATAGGGGAATCTTTTTAGAACCTATTTCTAGTGATATTGTGGAAATCAATCCATTGGGCCATAGTGTGAAAATTTGTCAGATTTGTAACGAATGTCCGATAAAGATACAAGGAGTAGAATTTACTGCAAACCTATTAGAATTGCCTTTTGAGGAATTCGGGATAATCTTAGGCATGGATTGGCTATCTTCCTACTATGGTTGGGTAGATTGTTGTTTAAAGAGATATTTTTTAAAAGATACAATGGGTTCAGAGATAATGTTTATTGGAGAAAGGGTAAATCCCTTATGTAATGTGATTTCAGCTTTTACTGCTAAGAAATTGTTGTCATGGGGATGTCAAGCAATTTTAGCAAATGTGTTGGATACGAGAACTGCTGAAGTTAAGTTGGGAAGCATTCGAACTGTACGAGAGTATCCAGAGGTGTTTCTGGATGAGCTACATGGATTATCTCCAGATAGAAAGGTGGAGTTTGGGATTGATGTATTTCCAGGAACATCGCCTATTTCGATGGCTCCTTATCGAATGGCCCCAACAGAGTTAAGAGAATTAAAGGCCTAATTACAAAATCTACTGGATCGAGGATTTATAAGACCGAGTATTTCACCTTAGGGTGCACTGGTGTTTTTCATGAAAAAGAAAGATGGATCAATGCGTTTGTGTATAAATTATCGAGAGTTGAACAAGGTGACTATAAAGAACAAGTATCCTCTCCCGAGGATTAATGACTTGTTTGATCAACTTAAGGGAGCATCTGTTTTCTCTAAGATTGATCTTAGATTGGGATATCACCAATTAAAGATTAAAGAGGAAGATGTTCCAAAGGTAATTTTCAGGACAC